TGATTCCCAATCATATTGGTTTGAATCCATATAATGTTTTCACTCATTAAGTGCAATGGTTTTAACGTGGGTTGTTCAATTTTAGTATCAGTGATAGTACAAATAGCTATTCTGAAGAAAACAACACATCATAAAAGCTAGTGCTGATTTAATATCATCTTGTTTTGAAGTCCCATCAAGCTGTTGTACATCTGTTTCTACTGGTTTTAACATGTTGTATCTTACTATATTTTACTAGATCTGATAGTATAAACAAAATTTTATGGGCAAAGAAATAATATACAAACCATTGTTCATTTTCTGTTAACTGGTTCTAAATACCTTGTAATTCTTTCATTCTCTTGAATGGCTTCACACTGTATTAATATGCTTGATGCTACAGTGTACGAAGTTATACTCAATTCAAGGAAAGAGGCACTATGGTGACTAATATTATGTTAGATTATTTGGGGCTGAAACACAATAATGCTTAAATTGTTCAGTTCTGACCTGTGTTGTTCTATCACAATGTCCTCTTTTATCTCAATCTCCACTCTTTTTCAAATATTAATCTGTTTACTTAACTTTTTTCAATTAAGGGAAAACTAAATTAAAAAAATTGTGGGATATATTATAGTAACTTTTTTTGTTTTCCTATTAATCTGTTTTGAACCCCACTATTGCTCTCCCCATCTTTTTCTGTCTTATTTTACTGTATTCTGTATTGTTTGATAGTATCAAGTTTGAGGGTATAAGCAACCAATTTGAAGGCAATCAGATTTACTATCATGCCCATTATGGTTTGACTATTATCTTCTTTTGAAATCCTGTAAGTTCTCCAGTGTAGGTTTTATTGGTCTTGTTCTGCACCATTTTGATCAATTCTATTATACCTGATGAGATAGGCAACTCTTCTTAAAAATAGCAAGAGGCACAATGGTAACCATTTTTCATCACCTGATATTCTATTTTTGCATCGTGTACTATGCCTATCCTTCAGTTCTAACTGAATCTGTTTTGTTTAGTCATGTTAGGTTTTATTCTCTTCAAAAAAAAAGTAATTAGAACTGTGGGAGTAAAAAACACAAAAAGTGTAATTTTTATTGTAAAAAAGAGAGGAAAGGAAGGTGGTATCAGGGACATAACTGCATGTTTGTGTGTGTAGGATGGAAAGCCATATTACTGAGCTTTTGTTGGATCATTGAATGGAACTGTCTGCAATCTCGCTATATGAATGTCCACTTTATATGCTTTTTTTATTTAAGTAGAAAAGAAAAAAAACAGTGAAGGGGAACAAGTTATACAAATTTACAGAAGAAAAAAATGCGCAGTAGGAAATCACTAGTTAAGGGATTACATATTGCCATCTTAGAAATAATTTTTCAAGTCACAAAATTAAAGCTATTAGAGTGGACATTCCAACAATGATACTGCAAACAGTTCTGTTCAATGATCCAATAAAACTCTGTGATATCATTGTCTATCTTATACACTTAAATATACATGCAGTTATATAGTTTAGAGCACTTTCTTTTCCTCTCTTTTGTACAATGACTATTACACATTTTGGGTTTCATTGCTCCCACGGTTCTTATTGCTTTTTTGGAAGAGAGTAAAACCAAATGTGACATAACAGAACAGAATCGGTCAAGTCAAAAGGGTGGACATAATAGATAATATAAAAACATAATACAAGGTGATCAACAATGGTTACCATAATGCCTCCCGCTATCTCTAATAGAATTGCCTATATCATTAGTTGTAATACAATTGAACAAAACAGTAAAGAACAAAACCGACAAAACCAAAACATTGGAGACATTGTAGGTCTTCAAAAGTAGACAAAAGTCAACGAGAATGGGCGTTATAATGAATCTCATTATCTTTACAGCTGATGCCTAAACTTTCGAACCTGATACTATTCAGCAAAACAGAATAGAGGAACCTCAGTCAAAAACAAGATGGTGAGAGTAATACAGGGCTTCAAATCGAGATAATAGAAAGTCAAAGTGGGTTACTATATTATATCCTGCTATTTTTTCCCTTTAATTAAATGGATAAAAATAAAAAAGTAAATGATGGAGTGGAGATTGAGAAAAAAGAGGGCATAACAGCGAAACAGGGCAAATCAAAACATAACCATTTAAGCAGAATAGTGTTTCACCACCAGATAATTCCAACCCAAAAGTAATTACCATATTGACTCTTTACTTGAAGTCCTTGAGTACAACTTCATATACTGTAGCATTAAGTATATCAAAACAATGTAAAACCATTTAAGAGAATGCCAGCATTATAGAGTATTTAGAATCGACTAACAGAAAATGAACAATGGTTTCTGTATAATCTCCTTGTCTTTAAAAGGTTTTTGCTTATACTATCGTACATAATAAAATCCAATAAGATACAACTTGTTTAGACCATTGGAGACAGAAGAACAAAAGCTAGATGAGACTTCAAAACAAGATGGTACTAAATCAGTATTACCTATTAGGATGTCATTTTCTCCAAAATAGCTGTTCCTATTATCCAATCTTCTCTGTCTGATTTCTGTTGAGCTCTTTTTCTGTCAGTAGCGATCAGTTTGTCTTCTTCATTTTGTTCTCTGCTCCATTCATTGTGGCCTCCCCGCCACTATTTCTGGGTTCTTTGTATTTTTCTTTTTTTAGAATATCCTGCAATACTTTCTGTAGGGTTAAATTGGTGGTTGCAAATTCCCCCAGTTCCTCTTTATCCTGGAAGCACTTCGTTTTTCCATCAATTTCCAGGGACAGTTGTGCAGGATATCTCAATCTTGGCTGGAAATTATTATCTTTCAAAGCTTGAATTATTTCCCCCCATGCTCTTCGTGATTTGATGGTTTGTGCAGAGAAATCTGCTGTAATTCTGATGGGTGTTCCCTTGTAAGTGGTCTGTTTCTTGTCTCTAACAGCTTTTAATATTCTGTTCTTGTATTGAATTTCTGGAATTTTTATTATTATATGCCTGGGTGTTTCTCTGTTAGGGTTGTAGGTAGCTGGGGTCCTGTATGCCTCATACATCTGAGTATCTTTACCTTTTGCTAAATTAGGAAAATTCTCCTGGATTATTTCTGTGAGTAGCTTTTGTAGTTCACTTGTTTGTGTCCCTACTTCTTTTTTTATGTTCTTAATCCTTAAGTTATGGCTCCTCTTATCATCTTCTTGTCTTTGTATTATTGCTGTTTGTTTCTTTGTTATTTTTAAGAAGTTTTTCATTTCATTCTCCCATATTACAAGTCTGGCCTCCAGTTCAGATAGTCTGTCCTTAGTTTCTTTCAAGCTGTTATGCCAGTCTTGGATTGACTTCTTAATTTCTTGATAGTCCCTTTGAACCTGCTTCACATATTCAATGCTTTCTCTGTTTTCTCCATCAAGCAATTCTCCCCTCATTTTCTGTTCTTCCATTCCACCATCTGTTTTTTCCTGGGTGGTGGTTAGCATTTCTCTATCTATTCTGCATACTTCTAGTTTCAGGTCGTTAATAACTTCACTCCTGAATTGGTCTATGAGGCTCTCTATATGGTGCTTAATGTATATTGGTGCGGTGTCCACTATTGCCTGTTTCTCAGAATTGGGGGCTGAGGAGCCTTTCTTGTTGCTTCCCTTCCCCATATTTTCTGTTCTTTATAAAATGCAAGCTTACATAGGAGGCCTGGCTTCCCTGCCTGTCAGCCACAGCCTGATCAAATTGTCCTGGCTAGGTTTTTCCGCCCACCACTGCGCACCAGGGAGCTGCGGAGGAGGCAGCCTATGCGGGAGTCAGTTGCCCCTCCAGGCCACCATCAGGCTCTGGGATCTGGGTTAGGCCAGACTACCAAGTCCGCCCACAGCGTTGTTGCCAGGCACTTTTCACCAATCCCGTCCGAGAGGGGAATGTGTGGCTGGAGTCGCCACCGCGCCCTGCTCTTACAGGACTGCCCGAGCCCAGAAAGTCCTCCGCTGGAGTCAAACTGTGGTAGGGGGTCAGTTTCTCTCACTCACCTCGCCACCAGTCAGTTTTCGTGTACGCCTCCTTGTCCGTCCTGTCTTCGACTCCGTTTGCAGACTCCCATTCCCAGAGCTTCTGCGCATCTCTCCTTGCCGAGCCGCAGTGGAGGCAACCAGCTGCCAGGCGGCGGGAAACCCAAATCGCGGTTTCCAATGGCGCGGGGTCGAGCCTCCACACCGAGTCCTTTCTGTTCCTATTTTAGCGCCAGGACTGTATTCTAAGTTGGTTTCTCTCAGCCCAGTTCGTTCCTGAGTCAGCAGAGCATATCTCTACTGGTTCATGTCTCCTTAGTCCGCATCATTCCTGGCCTCTGAGCCGAGCCTTTCAGAGAGCCTCCAGTAGTTGCTGTTGTCTGTCCGCCATGTTCTCAACTTTATATGCTTTAATTGTATAATTTGGACAACTGTTTCTAAGATGAAAATATGTAACCTATTAACTAGTGATTTCTTATTGTACTATTTCTCTTGAAATTCTGTATTATTTATACATGTTTTCTGCTTTGTTTTTTATTTCCTTTCTTTTTTCTCTTTAAATATAAACATAATCAAGACTGGAATGGATATCTTTTATTAATTTATATTTGTTACTGGAGATAAAACTCATGACCTCACATTTGCCAGGTAGGTTCTTAACCCACTGAGCTAAATCCCCAGCCCCCCAAAGTACATCTTTTACATCCTGTCACCTTCAGATTAGTTGGCTCTACTCTTGAACTTGATACCAGCAAGCATACCAAATGTGAATAAAATCAGTCAAGGCCAAATAACATTCAAACAAACCAGCTTCAAAGATCAGTCATAGAAGACAATGTAAGTAATACAGAGTTTCAGTTTAAGTTAACAGGTAATTAAGGATAGTTACCATGGTATAACCTGCTATTTTCAGGTTATCTCTTTGTGCCCTCAAATCTAATATGAGTAGACAGACCAGAACAAAATATAATCAAACTAACCAGAGCAATAAGACTACTGTAGCTTTTACATCCTGATACACTTTTAACAATGCCGTCTGCCTTCTTTTTTAAGGCAATTCCTCACCTTTCTCCTTCTCAGGATACTATTATTCACTGTTCAGAGTGATATTAGTCTAGTCTCTTATGTTCAATTTCAGCATACATAAAGATAAAGACAGCTACTATGAAGAGAATGAGAGACATTATGGTAGTCATTATCGATTTCCCCAAAATCTGTCTTGAAGATCAAAAAAGCCTGCATCATCCTGTAATTATTTGATTAGTTCTATAATATTCAGTATATATTCAATGCATTCTAAATGGGAACAACTATTTGGAAGAAAACTAGAGACAGTAAGATAGACAGTGAACATCTCCAGTGGACGTGCTTTGAAATCTGTGTTTCCTTAACTTGTTTTCTTATGAACTGTTCTGCTCTGTTTTATCATGTTTAATCTTACCCTTCTTAAGAAAAGAAAAAAAAACAAGTTTGTAGGACAGTAAGCATATTAATAAGTCTTTGTTGGATCATTGAGGTGAACTGTTCGCAGTGTCATTGTTTGAATAGCACTTTGTATGCTTTAATTTGTAACTTGAACAACTACTTCTAAGATGAAAATATGTAACTAATCAACTAGTGATTTCTTATTTTTCTGAAATTCTGTATTATTTCTACATTTTTTCTGCTTTTTTTCTTTAAATAAACATTACAATTTACGACAAAATATAAAAATTCAATTTTAAAGACAAAATATTAAGTACATAGACACTATCCATACTTGAAAGTTAACAGCCCATTTCAGTTTACCATGCTTAATTACAAGATGCCATGTTGAAGCACAAAGACATTTTAAAAAATCTAAAGAGGTACAAGTGGTTAACTGAAAACCATACAACATGTGCACTTGAGTAGAGCTCCACCTCAGATTTGTCATTTCTGGAAAATTTGTGAAGAAATATTGACATCAAACTTCTGTATTGGTTATCTCTTAATGTCTCCTTGGGATTTTTAAAGTAAACTTAGATTTAAATTGTCTGAAGACTGATGCTTTTTCTATGTATTTAACAACAAACATGGATTGCCATATTTCTCACATTGTTAATACACATAGGATCTCTGCCCAGTGAGCTCTTTCAGATAGGTAACAATGATCATGTATGCTGAGAGTATTCCCATAGCACATAGGATTTATCTCTTGTGTGAGTTTCTTCATGTATTTCACTTACAATCTGGCTGCTAAAAGTGTCTCCAGTTGCTTACATAGCCAGTGGTTCTTCCCAATGTGAATTCTTTCATGTGTTTTGCAATGACTGTATGTGGTAAAACCTCTGCCACATTGTTATATACATAGGGTTTCTCACCAGTGTGAAGTCATTGATGTATTTTACAGTATCCATGTGTGGTGAAAGCTTTCCCACATTCTTCACATACACAGGCTTTCTCAACAGTGTAAATTTTATAATGAATTGGACAATGAGCATTTCTGCTGATACCTTTCGCACATTCCTTACCTATATAAGTTTTCTGCCCAGTGTGAAGTTTTTCACGCATTATGCGATAAGTATGTGTGCTCAAACCATTCTCATGATGCTTATATACGCTGGTTTTATCTTGAGTGTGAACTTTCATGTTGTTTACAATGTCCATATAAGGTAAAAACGTTCCCACATTGCTTATACATATGGTTTCTCTCCAGTGTGAACTGTTTCATGTTGTTTACAATTTTCAGAATTGGTAAAATATTTTCCACATTGCTTACATATATAAGGTTTCTCTCCCGTGTGAATTCTTTCATGTTTCTTACAATCTCCCCGTGTGTTAAAAGCTTTCCCACATTGCTTACATACATATGGTTTCTCGCCAGTGTGATTTCTTTCATGTTGCTTACAATGTCCAGAGATGGTAAAACCTTTCCCACATTGCTTACATACATAGGGTTTCTCTCCCAGTGTGAATTCTTTCATGTTTCTTAAAATCTCCCCGTGTGGTAAAAGCTTTCCCACATTGCTTATGTACATAGGGTTTTTCTCCAGTGTGAATACTTTCATGTTTTTTACAATCTGCCTGTGTGTTAAAAGCTTTCCCACATTGCTTACATACATATGGTTTCACTCCAGTGTGAATTCTTACATGAACCTTACAATATGCACGTGCGTTAAAAGCTTTCCCACATTGCTCACATACATATGGTTTCTCTTGAGTGTGAATTCTTTCATGTTGCTTACAATGTCCAGATGTGGTGAAACCTTTTCCACATTGCTGACATACATAGGATTTCTCTCCACTGCAATATTTTTTATGGATCTGAACATTGTGGTGTGTTTCTGCTTCTTTCACATTCACATTACCTTCTGCAGTACCAAGGAATACTTCTTTACACTGACTCCAAGATGTATGTCCATAGGGTTTCTCTAGCTTTTCATTTCTGTAAAGAAAAATATCACATATTGGATTGATAACCTTATTACTTAGTTTTTATTGAAGAGTTGAACAAAACTGTTTGCAGTCTCACTGTTTGAATCCCCACTTCATATGTTTCACTTTTGTATTTCATTAACTATTTCTATGAGCAGCATATGTAATCATTGTCTTTAGATTTCTTACTGTTTATTTTCACTTTGAAAGTGGTATTATTTACTTATTTTGTGTTTCTTTGTGTTTCCTTATATTAAATAAAAACAGAAAAATTCACAGTGAAATGGGTCTCAGTTTAATGACTGCATTAATGTCAAGTGCTGTTTTTAATGGCTGCTCAGAAATTCTCACCATGAAGCAACAGAATGGCCTTGTAAGATATGTTGAAAACAACCATTCCCAAAAGACTGGTACACATTTGGAAATCTTAGAATTTGGTACCTTTTGAAATGCAGAATATTTAGCTTCACTTTGGGCATGGGTATATATGTGTATCACATAGAGATCATTGTGATATGATTCCCCATCACAATCTCCCTTCTGTCCTTAACCTATAGTTCCCTTTTCCATATGGTTCATCTTACTTTTCTCTATTAACTCTCTTTCATTTCATTCCACAATTCATATTTTGGTTTCGCATCTAAAAGAAACCCTGTGACCTTTTAGGTTTTATAACTGAGCTATTTCACCGAATTGATGGGAGAAAGCCCCATCAATTTCTTATGGCAAGTGACATTATATTATTTATTTTTTGACATTATTTAACACATTTTTTTTCTTTTCCATGCTGGGAATGAACAACAGCTATTAGCATAAAATCTATAGCTTTTTAAAATCTGTTTTAAGAGATTTTCACTGATTATTAAGCTGTGAAGTTTGAACTTGAATTTGCCATTCTGCAAAATCTGATTCCTAGTGTGCTGGATTTACAAGAATGCACAACCACAGAGGGTCTATTAACATTTTCCCTCTCCACAAATCCAGTGATAGATAGCTAAGATTCTTCAAGGCCTGATCTATTATAACTTGATCTGCTTTGTATATGATTAAGCATGTATCAGTATTTTATGCAGATTTTGAATTTTTAAAAACTTATCCAGAACAAGTGTGGTGGGATCAACTTCTAGAGATAACTGCATACTTTTATTCAGAATGAATGCACTTAACATTCTGCCAGCCTACTTAGAATTTTAATCAGAGTGGCTGATTCTCTAGAGCATGGCTTGGAAACACAAGCAGTCTGTTTTATTTCAAATTCTATTGCAAACAGCAATTTTTAGATAATGAATGTGTTATATTCAAATGTATACATGGGTAGAAAAACTGAAGGGAGAATGTCATAACTCAAAGTGTGTGCCTTTTGTACACATCTATATGCAATGATATACATTTTCATGATTTAATTCACTCATTATACATAGCGTAGCTTATACACCTTGGGAGAATATTACTGGCAGTAAATTGAATGGTACCTCATTTCTTTAGTGGTCACTTTTCTTCTTCTTTCTTCACTAATAACTCAGGAATATTCCTTCTCCTTGTGAGTGCAACTTACCTTAAGTATCTCCAGTAAATCTTGCATTGTTTTTCAGCTTCCTGGATATCCCCAAGTCCTCCTGAATTGTAGACATAGAAATACCAGCGCTCATTAGAATAATACATACAAATTAATAGATTTTGTTTAGATTTATGATATAATGTGTTCAGGTCTGAGCTATTTTTAAAAATATATTCACATTGATTTTAATGAAACAGCACTGATGAGCGACACACAACATTCTGACAGCATGAGTGACAAAAGTATTTCATTCTTACCTATTGCAGCCATGTTCCTAAAGGTTTCACCCATCACATCTCTGTAGAGGTTCTTTTGGGATGGACTCAGCAAAGTCCACTCCTCATTGCTGAAGTTCACAACCACATCCTCAAGGGTCACCACCTCCTAAAGGATCATACATATATTTCTCACATGAAGGTTGAGACACCAGGTTTGTGATATCTTAAATTATCTCCTACAAATCTGAATCAAAAGCAAAGTGTGGTGGTATATATCTATAATGCCAGCACTCAAAAGGCTGAGGCAGGATGGTTTCAGTGAGTTCAGGGCAATTCTAGGCTTCATAGGGTGTTGAAATCCAGCGGATATACATACAGAAAGCTTGTTTCAATAAAACAAAACAAAATTAAATAAATACAACCAAACAAAACAGCTGAATGAAGACTGATTTATTCAAATTTAAATCCATGTCTTGGTCATTAATTTTGTGAATATACACATTTTTGAAGACAGCAAATTTGATGATAGATTGTAACTCACTGCTAATGTAACAGTGAAATAGGAGCACTGATTCTTGTGCTGAGTCACTGTAATATTCCCTGTGTACTGTCTCTAATGCAGAGCTCACAGTGAGAAGCCTGCAGGACCAGCATCCACAAAGCACAGAGTTAGATAAATATCCCATCAATCAACTAGGAAGCCAAGCAAGCACCTCCCTTCCCTAGTAAGTGGTGGCAATGTGGCAGACTGTGGCCCATCCAGGGTGCAAACCAGCAGCAGCTCCTGAGATCCGTGCAACGTTGGAATTTAGGACACTTGGAAGGCAAGCAAGCACCACTTCTCCCTGGTAACTGGTGGCAGTCTGGCAGATTGTGGCCCTTCCAGGGGGAGGACCAGCAGCAAGTCCTGAGCTCCACACCATGTGGGAACTTAGGGCACTGTGAAACCAAACAACCAGCCTGTCTCCCTACTAAGCATTAGTGAACCTACTGGATGCACGGCCTAGAATCAAACATCCCACTTCCCTACCCCTCTTCTCCTGTCACCCCCCACCCCATTAGCAAATGGGAACCAGAAATCTGAGCATCTCCTGGGAAGCTGAACGTAACAAATAAGGGGGACTTATTTCTACTATTTCTTTGAAGGCAAATATTTTTATTACTGTTTTGGTCTATTCTGATTAATGGTATTGCTCTATTCAATATTCTGTTTTGATAAGTACTATAATGTTCTGTATTTCATCTAATTTTGATATATGTGTTTGAAAGAACAACTATTATAAAGATAATAAAACATACTGTGATACCTATTACTGTTATCCCAGTAACCTGTTGTGAAGTTGTGTACCAATTTCACTGTACAATCATAGTTGGCCTTATTCTGTGTTGTTCTGTTGCATTTTACCACTTTCAAAATTTAAAAAAAGAAAAAAAATCTCATCAATCACTTTGATAGGCTGCAGATAATGTCTCTTCAAATCTCATTCAGGCCAGTGAGTACTTTGTTCTTAATATACTTCAGCAGCATTTTGAAACATGAATTTGGTTTCATAGAACAAAACATAAATAACACCCAATATGGTACACAAATAATAACTCAAATGTTAGTGGAAAATGCTGTTTTTAAAAAATAAGTATATAAAATGGAACCAGGCCCAAGCTGTAATTTATAGCTCACTGTCACGAAGCGATCACTTTCAATTCAGATATAAGAAATGTATCTTGGGAGGCTGGTGAAGGAGTTCTTCCTTGAATTTGGGGCTATCCTAAGTTACAGAGCTGTGTAAAATAGAGAAACCCTGACTGAGACACTCCACAGACAAAGTGAAAGCATAAGAGAACTTTGGTTTGTTTTTAAAAATTATAACCATATAATATGCAAAAATTCCAACAATATTCAACACTTTCTGAGATACAATGTGGATATTTTCCATGCAACAAAGAAAACACTTTCATAGTTGGGTATTTATCTCAGTGGCATGAACACCTGCCTGGAAAGCATAGGTCATGAGTTCGATCCTTGGTACAAAAAAAATCCAAATTTTACCTTCATGACACTGGGGCATAATTAGAGATAATCCAAATTAGATCTCAAGTATGGAACACAAAATTCATGGATTGATAGGGATGTGAAATACTGATTGTTGCCAGAGCTTGTGTTGATCACCTCAAGGAAGCAATGAGAACTCAACTTTAACTTCACACTTACTCTAAGAACAACCTGACTTTCAGTGAAGACCCTCTTTGTTGTATGTCCTGCTATAGGCTTCCTGCATCCTGTCAGTCACTTGCACATCCTTTCCACACTCCTCTGATCCATCCTAAGCAGAAAACTCTTCATGCCTAACTATTGATATCACTGCAAAATTTGTTTAGAGCTTCTCCTTTACACCACTTAATAAAGTCCATTGCAGAGCATTTCCATATTTAAACTGTCTATGACCAAACAAGCCACTAAATCAGCTCTTAATTCAGAGATGACACGCCTATTCCTTTCCATTCAGAAGGATATCACGTGTATATGTCCATGCAAATGCCTAAATTTCAGCATTTTTCGATGAGAATTTAACAGGTAGCCCTTTCTGGAATTTGTCCTTCACAAATTTTTACCCTATCCTTGATAACACTTTCATATTTGCTTCATTTTTGTCAGACTTCAAAACTCTATGGCTGTTCTCACAAACCTAGTCTGTGAGCAAGGATGCCACCTAAATAATTAAGTATGCTCAGAAATTATTTTGCACTGATCTGTATAATACACAGTTCATGATTTGTTTGGGAAGCCTTTCTCCACTGAGGCACACTACTACACATCTATGAATTCTCAGGACCTTTGTCACTACCTGTCATGAGGATGGAAATATGAGAACATACTATAAATTGAGAAGATCACTATAAATACAAAAAAGCCCAAGTTTAAGTTGAGTCATTGTGGCTATGAGGCCCTGCATTACAGTCATTAATAAACTTTGGACTTTCCAGATCTGCTACTCTGAGGAAAGAGAGCATAGACCTAGCTCATTACTGCTCTACAAGCTACAAAAAGCATCATAGTCAGGGTCTTTCCAAGCTCCTTCCAATGCCTAAGATTGTGGAGTTACCAGGCCAGCAGTGAATTTCAAAGATGATACTTGAGTCTACTGCTGTCATAGTGAAGCTAGGATTCTGGGGACCCCAAATCACCCTTGCCAACAGCAAGAGGCAAAAGGGACAGTGAATGACCCAAGGGCAATGCTGGAGGACCTCAGGAGCTGAAGCTAACTAAATACTTGAGGCTCCAGACACCACAACTACTCCTAAATATTTCTAAATGGTTTCACCGAATCCACCCTATCTCTGGGCTCCCATGCACAACCTCACCATTCCATGGCTCCAGGGTCTCTCAGGTTCTTTGCTAATCAGGCCACAGGACATCAAAAGTACTACATGAGATCCAGCAAGCATTTTGCTACCACTATTGCACTCAGAACAGGTAAATCATGCTGAGACATGGGAAGAGACAGAAGTCACAGCCAGCAATGGTCCACCAGATTGGACAGTTCATATAGCCTGCCCCTTCATCACTGATTGACTCCTGCTCTACTGCCCTCTTTCTGAGTCAAGAATAAACAGAGAAAGGAACTCCTCCCTGCAAGAGAGGATCCCAAATGGTAGACTGTAGTGCAGAGGCTTCTGGAGCTGCCATTCTTCTACAGTGGTGAACTCAGCTCGACAGAGGAGTGTTTGTATTAAAGAGCTTTACCTCACGCTTTTAACTTTCAAATCCATTTTATTTCAAGGAAAAAACAACACATCAACTAAAATTAAATTTCAAAATATGTGAATCAGGGGGCAACACTGGTATATACATTGCGCATTGTCATCCCAGATCATTCACCCAGAGCCCAACACATCTGTAATCAATTTTCCAAACAGTACTGTTACAGGCACCTGAGTTATTTAAATACTATTGGCATGAGACAGAGGTAGGTCCCCCAAGGAGCCCATTCAGGAGACCAGATAGCTTGCAACTATGGGCAAGACTGACACCTCATGCTATGGGTCAAGGCTGAAGACAAAGGATAAGCAAATTCCTCCATATCCTAAGGATTGATATTCTAAATAGCTCCCTAGAACTCTGAGGAAGTCAGGAGTCACCATTCAAAGAAATGTATATTTATCCTAAAGACTGACATTCTAAATAGTTCCTCCCATCCTGATGACCTCAGTAGTTACCTTCCAAACCCCTAAGGGAAGTCACTGCTGCCTAAGAATGCCTGCTTTCTATGTGACTCCCTTCCCCCTTTGTTTCCAATTTAATCAACTTTACATGAACTTATTGGCTACCATAGCTCTGTCCCATTTATGCCCTTCTGCATTGTGAGTTCCTAGTTTTCCCTACCTTAAACTCATTTCACCACATGATTTTACTCTATAAAGGTCCCTAGAAAGGACAGTGTTTGGCAACCTGCAAAGGACTCCATCTCTCTCTCAGGCAGCTTTTTTTTCTCTCAATAAGTATATTCTTCTCTTAATCTCTGCTGTTCCTAAAATTCATTCTTTGACCTTAGAGAACAAAAAACTCATATAAGACATAGTAGACCAGGAGATTCATTCCGCTATAGCAATATTAGTATAAACTTTTCTCTTTCTTGAAGTCAGAGAAAACAGTAGTAGTTTGTATTACACAATGTTGAACTCACCTTGGCAGGAATACTTGCATTGAACGCCTTTACCCCTGCCTTTAAGTGCTGCTTCTTTTTCTGATCTGTAATTTGGTCACAGTATCTACAATGCATTAAGGAAATGACTCAAAATATTTCTTATGAATGGTTTACTACCAGCTGTGGAGGAAGACAGATAGCAAAAATTCTTTGTTTTGATTTCTTCCTTCAAACCGAAGGATGTACTTCAAAGAGTTTTGCCCTAGAAACAATTACAGGACCTCATGGTGGTAGTTCAAGGTGGAAGAAGGTGAAACCAGGGATACTTACTCATATGGCCACTTCCTCTTTTTTCCTTGATTACAACTTCCTTTTTCTTTCCCAGGGGCCTAAAGAAAATTCCCATCAGCTACTTGCAAGACCTCAATGTCCCCTCCAAGCACCACATCCAAAAGTCACAAATACCCCATAACCCCATAGTCAGTCAGAAAAAAAAAAAAAAAAAAAGCTAAATTCTTGGTGG